CTCCCCCCCCCCCCCCCCCCCCCCCCTTCTTGTTATTTTCTGTTTTTCTTTGTCGACCATGTTAAATTATGAATTATTTAAATCGATACTTTTGTCTGGCCATTTTCATAGATTAAGGAATTGTCAAATGTCAAAGAGGAAGTTTATGGAGCTCTTGATTCTTTAATTGCATGGGAACTAGAATTCCCTTTAATTACAGTGAAGAAGGCAATAAAAACCTTGGAGGAGCAAAAAGAATGGAAGAGGATAATTCAAGTAAGTTAGTTAATTAGAGTCCCAATTTCATTTATCCATTTTAAGTCTTCCCAATCTATTGAAGCATTCAAATGTGGAGTTTTAGGTGACAAAGTGGATGTTAAGCAAAGGTCAAGGCAAAACAATGGGGACCTATTTCATACTCTTGAATGCTTTAGCAGAAGATGGGAGACTTGAAGAAGCTGAAGAGCTTTGGACAAAATTATTTTCAGAGAACTTGGAAAGCACACCTCGAAATTTCTTCAACAAAATGATTTCTATTTACTATCACAGACGCATGCATGACCAGATGTTTGAGGTATTGTAATTCCATGTCCATTGTTTCTTCATTGTGCTAGATTAAGATCATCAATCAGCTAATGTCATGGGGTTAGGATAGCATCTGTCGACGATAAAACCGCGAAACAACATTGGATACGTTATGTGAGATTCCATCTATCTAGGAGATTTGACTTCTCAAATTCTTTTTCTCTGTAGATATTTGCCGACATGGAAGAGCTTGGCATTCGGCCGAATGTTTCAATTGTTACAATGGTTGGAAAAGTCTTCCTGGAGCTAGGCATGCTGGACAAACACAAAAAATTGAAGAGGAAATATCCACTGCCAAAATGGGAATACCGATATATTCGAGGAAAGCGTATCAGGATTCGAGCAAAAGATCTTGCCAAATACGATGGTGACACTGACCGAGGAGTGAGCAAGGATGAGGAATCAGAACATGGTTCAGATGAACCGTTAGACATAGCCGAATCAAGTCCAAATGGCTCTGATGCTGAATCCGAGGAAGTAGACCCGGAGTCTAATGACGTGTTTGAGGAAGCTGAAATGAGTACAGATGAAAGTCAGAGTTGAACCTAAAAAAATTCATTCGATACTAACCAGATCTATTACAGTGCAGTGTACAAACCCTAGTCTCATATCACATGGCAGCGATTTGGTGCTTAAGAGTGGAAGGTGTTGAAGGAAACAAGGATTCACCTTTCATTGACAAGTGACAAAAGAATTAGATTCAAGATTCCAGTTAGAGAGAGAGAGAGAGAGAGAGAAGGGGCTGCTTTACCAGCCCCGGGTGTATTTGAAGAGATTAAATTGTATCGACGACAATATATGAACATAATGATATATCATATTTTTGGCCGTAAAAGATATGTGGGAAAAGATTACATGGGCATGTAATTTCTCGAAAGTCGCTTTCTTTTTCATTTTTTCGCTTGAAACAAAAGTTGCTTTCTTTTACTAGCCTGCTTTACGCTTAGTTCATTACGTTGAATCGTGGCATCCTTTTGTCATGAGAGAGAGAGAGAGAGAGAGAGAGAGAGAGAGAGAGAGATGTGTCTAGTAATAATTTAAAGTGGATTTCTGAACTTTCAAGGTCTACTGATTAAAAGGAAAAGAAAAAAGATTGGCAAAAAAAACAAAAACAAAACAAAACTAAGTATCGCTATGGTGGTCGTCAAGTTCTTTTCACCAAATAAGGATAAATGAACAAACAAAAAGAGGGTTATTGTGTCATATGACAGTTTTGTTTTTCACTCCTCGTCTGAGCCTGAACTCTCTGAGCTTGACGCTCGTTTATCGGCAGTGCCATTGGCAGCAGGGCCCTTCTTTTTTGTATCCTGTTGTTCATCTGCCTCGTCTTCACTGTACTCACTCTCGTAATCATCATATTCCTCCTCTTCATCCTCTTCTTCCTCTTCAACCCCGTCCTCTGTGATTGGTCCTTCTTCTGCCACAAGACCACTCCGAGTGCCAGCCCGGGTACGCTTCAAAATCTTTACCTTCAAGGGTGTCTTTCTATCACAGCCGATCCAAGAATCACACAAGCAGTAACAAGTCAAGTTGTAATTGCCTTCTACTGGGGCTTGGAACTTGCCCATTAACAGTCTATAGCCACTCTTCACCTTCTCAACTGCTTCCTTGACTGCAGCACTAGTCTCCCTCACACTTGCTCCTGAACCCTCCATTGTCTCCTCAATCGCCTTCGAAGCGCCTGTAATGGCAGCAGCTTCGTCCATGAAACTAACCTTCTGGGAAAACCACACATTATTAGAGACGGTGTCGGCTAGAAAAAACCAGAAATTTTCCTCCTTGTGAAATGGGAAGTAAGGGGCATGCGGGAGGGCACCAATCAGGCCATTACCGCGTTTAAGCGATACCCAAGCTTGGAGCGTGACGATGTCGCCTTCTTGTATACCCTCCTCACCTTCCGTCTCACAGTTCACCTCAATTGTTAATGAGGGCATCATTTCCAGAACCATTTCAACATCCTGTACTTCAGCAGATGAGAAACTAGCAGTTTGACTGAGCAGCTCAGCACGATCTTCTGAGGTCATATCCTGAAGATCTTGGAATGTTCTCACCTTCTACAGACATAGATATGAAAAAAGATTTAGGCAAAGATCAAAAGAAGATAAATAGGATGGTGTGAAGTAGAAAACTAAAAGAAAATAGGACAACCAATTATCAGGGCTATGCAAATAATTGCTATGCATTCACAATTTTGGTAGCTGAGGTCAGTAGAATTGCGTCCTAAAATAAAGGCAACAATTTCACGTTTTCAACATGTTTGTATTTTGCAGAATTATTTTCAGCACCAAGAAAAAGAATCTTATAAAGTTGTGCCAGTGTAAAATGGGTAATGATTCTAAATTGAGTTCTACAAAGAAAATAGGCAAAACAATACGCAAAAGAAGAGCACAAAGGGAATATGCAGTCGGACAGAATGAGATTACCTTTCCACATTAAGTTTCCAGAGTATATTAAAAAAAAATCACCCAAATAAAGTAGATCCAGGATAATGAATGGCTAAACAAAAAAGAAACAAGGTACACGGAGGTTCTTAACTAAAGCATTTTCTAGTTAAAACCTTCGGAGGAAACATATTGGCGACAAGCAGTGCAATCTAGCAAAAAATGATACCAAAAACAATGCTGTGTTGAGTTACCTTGCGAGATATTTTCTTCACAACAGCCTCACTAAAATGTGGCAGCTGCAGGAAAGGTGCAATGCCTTCACTGGATCCTCCTGTAGCTTTCTTTGCACCCAGAGGAACAGCCTGCATAATAACATTAGTACGGAACACAACTCAAAAGTTAGTAAAAGAAGCAAAAATAAAATGACATATAACAAAAAAGTTCCAAAAATACCATCCAATGTCTGAACGTAGTTTTTACCATTCAAAAGTATCAATTTTTTTATGCATAACGATCTCAATACATTCAATTTTTTCTTAAGACTACAAACCAGAAAATTAAAATAACAAAAACGCCTTAGCAATGTCTTTAAAATGCATAACCTGAATGATACACTGAGAAAGCTCAACCACCCCGACTGCAGGCCTCAGCCATCCATGCCCCTGAGCGGTTCGTGGTATGACTGCCATCTGCACAAGTTACAGGTAAATCACACGAGAGGATGACAATTAGATACACAAATCATGATAGCAAATGGCCAAACCACTTCATGAGAAGTAAAAGAGCAGCCGAGAGAGAGAGAAGAGAATTGACTGAAACCTGACAACTAAAAATGCCCACAAAAAAATAAACAAATATACATACATATATATATATATATACACACACACATATATAAAGACGTCAAATGACATGAGAGTTGCCTAAGGATCTTCGGTAATATATTTAGACTGCATCTAGAAAAGCGGATATACAGAAAATTGTTTAGAAGTCCACCAGTAACATTTAAGAAGCACGAGGCAGATGAATTGCATGCCAGTATGAATTAGAGCTTGAAGTTTATGGAACAATTTCCAAAGAAGCAGGCCCCACAAACTTCCACAACTTGCTTTCCAAGTATATTGTCAAAAACTTAAGTTTAGACACGAAGGATTGACAAATTCACCTTCATTACAAGACTTCACGCTATTATCCAACATAGCAGCAACAATGCTAAAAATCTACTAGAAGAATGCAAGATAAGAATTATCAAAATCACCGTCATTAATTCTTCAAGGAGGCGAGGTGCAAGTTCTAGAACACGTCTGAAATCAGCATGCAAAGAAGGAGATAGTGATGCTGACTCACGAGTTAATTGAGCTTGTATCAACAATTCCGTCTGAATAAGCAAAAGCAGAAGATAACAATCAGTCGGTACAATATTCATTAGCTATTTTCCTTGATCCAATCGCAGAGGATGAATTACCTTAACAAGGCCTGGATGCTGCTTCCAAAACTTTGCCTGCTCTTGCTTGATGTTCTTAAGGTCCAGATTCAGCTCACTACGTACTAGCATAAAAAGCTTCTGGAGGGGCTCCTCATCAGTTCTACGAATAGGAAGTTCCCTGTATTCAGCAGCCTTTATGAAGACGTCCATAACTTTGCTGAAAGATCAAATTACCTCAAAAGATTAGATAATAATTATACCAGAGCTTTGTTCTAAATGATAAAACAAATCTTCAAAGAAACTACATACCTTGGAGCCAACGAAGGTTTCATTAAGTGATAGTAATTGGATAGTGTTTGATGCATCACGTAATTGCCAGTATATTTTGCTGACCGCGAAAGATATACAACAGCTATCACCAAAGGCAAGAGAATACAAATACCAACAATCCAGAGTAAAAGAATTCCACCCGATGCCCCATCAATATCTAGAAGGAATTGAGGGAGAGCAATGCCCATTTGAAAACCCTGTTATGAAAATGGTTCATCTTAGTTTGCAATAACATTGTTGATTCTATATGTTCATACTATCAGCCTTGGGGAACCATCAAGAACAAGTTCCAATTCTCTCAGATAAGTAAAATTTGCATTACCTGCCTACCATCAGGATGACCATATTTTTGAAAGTTCTCACGAGAAATTGGATCAGTCAAAGCTTGATAAGCTTTAGATATGTACTCCACAAAATATTTGTGTGCCTCTGGAAAAAAAAAAAAAAAAAAGACAAAGAAAAAGACCATTAGCGATACATAGAATGCAATATATCAAAGCATGCACAAACTAAAACACTAAAACACCTTATACCTGGATCTGGATTTTTATCAGGATGGTATTGAATAGAGAGTCTTCTATATGCCTTCTTTATTTCTGATTCCGAAGCTCCAGATTCCAATCCAAGAATACTGAATGGCTCAAAAATTTGAATCTGAGAAATTGAATGGATAAAAAAAAATTACAATTTTTTTCCGATCAAAAGGCTACACAGCAGTCAAAAGTTCTGGGTAAGACAGTGAACCTAATATGAAGTTCCATTAACCATTATAAACTAACATGAGTGTTTTATGTACCGGAAAGTAACACAAAAATGACAGGATCGTATCATTAGTTTTTCCATCGTAGTTGAGGCTTAGTTAAAATGTTTACCTCACGGCTCATATTTTTAATGTAATAAACCAGCACAATCATAACAACCCAGAGAAGGACTAGTGTCAAGTTACTATACGTTGAGAAGTTCGAGATCTACAAGATGAAATCAGACAAACCACAGTCAGATGAATAAAACAACTGAAAAAAAAAAAAAAAAAAAAAAAAAAAAAAAAAAAACTCACCCGCTTAAATATGGATTTGCGATACTTCCCTGAATGAGAGCATTCGGAGCACTGGCAGTGGATAGTCTTTGTTTTCTTTGAGGCAGCACGGCACAACTTTAATATTGTATAAGGCACTAACGGCAAGGCCATTATTGTCAAGATAAATATTGGGAACAAAGCACTATTCTCCTCGGAAGCAGCCATCGATACCTTCTGCCCAAAACGGTTCGTATACAAATACTATGCAGGCAGAAGTGACTCTGAAAAGAAAAAGGTCGGTCAATGGACTGCTGCAGCAATCTAAAGAATCCCATACTCGTGCATAATAAACCAACCCAACAACAACAACAATAACAGGATAATAGACTACCAAAAAAGGGCAGTCGTAGATTCAAACGCATATGTACCTTTCCTTAATACCCTATCGATGCATCATATAAAAATAAAAAATAAATAAATAAATAAAAATAAAAGCTTGATCCTAAATTAACACCTGACAAGGGAAACTAAATAGTTTGAAGCTTCTTTGGACATCAAAATTGCCAAATTGAAATACAAAATTAAAATCACATCAGCCTCAATCAAGTATCAATCTGCAAAACTACTATAAGCTACTGAAAGACCAATCAAAACAACAATTGGGAAATTCTCCTGAAATTTATAAACAAAAAAACAAGAACCCGTTTAGATACTAATAGCGAATAGACCTAAGCATCCCCAAATTTGAGTAGCAAAGCTCTAAAAACTTAAAAATCAGTCGAATTACGCAAAACATACTTCAGACCTATTTAAATCGCCTCAAAATATAAGCATGAAAAAGGAAATTGAATTAAAACCCAAACCCAATAATTAAAATGGAAAGCAATAAAGAATCCGCCAATTCTCTATTGCGCGCGCGCGCGGCTTGTGAAGATATTATTCGTAATCCAAAGGACTACAAATACCCAATTCGGAGAAGGAGAAGTGGAAAAAGCATATGTGAAATTGTTGGCGCATGTATTACCTGGAGATGGAAAAAAAATGAGCTTCCGATCTGATTCGGAGGTAGCTTCGTCCGTACAATGGGTGTCGCAACTTTGAGACTTGAAGAGAGAGAGAGAGAGAGAGAGAGAGAGAGAGAGACTGAGTTCCTTTTAAGAGAGAGATTAGAGAAAGCGTCTTATTGGGTTTTCTTTGGCGTTGAGATTTTCATTTATTAGGTTTATTAGTTTTATATTTCTTTTATTGATATTCCCAAAATTGAATCGTTGGTGATGGATCAAACAAGCTAAAAGCCTAAAGCCCGTTCAGTATTGATAATGATCTAAACAATATAAATGAATAAATTATAAAGAAAACTTTCTTTCTACTTCTTTTTTTTTTTTTTTTTGAGTAAATACCTTCTTCTTTTTTTCGTTTAACACAAATCTAAAAACAAGAGAGAAAAAGGATTAAATTAATTAAATTTAATATCATAATTTTATGAATATTTTTTTCCATCCCTTACGTAATGGATATTTAAATAAATGGGAATCGTTCGGACTTTTTTTTTTCGAGGAAACGTATATTTAGAATTTTTTGTTTTTTGTTTTTTGTTTTTTTGAAAAATTTTCTCTTTTTTGTGTGTATTTAGAATTGTTGATAAATCATCCGTGCTCTATTTATGTTTTTTCCACAGCCAAAACGATAAACGATGCGAAATAGCAAAACGACATGAAAATCGATCAATCATGAAATTAACAGCTAAGAAGCACAGTCGACACTACTAAATAACGACAATTAAATGAACTAAAGCAGACTGACACTTAAAAACGACATCAAATGGAGACATTACGGTGGCTTTAAGAAGTATAATAAAATAAAAACGACAACAATCACAAAAAGGCATAAAACGAGAATTGATCACAAAATCAGAAAAAAAAAAAAGAAATCCATAAATTCATCATCTTTATTTTATTGTACCTTTTTTTTTTTCATTTTCGTTTTATTATCCCAAATTTTTTCCTCTATTTTTATTTTTCTCCCTAATATCTTTCTTTCCCCTTCTTCGTCTTCCAATGCAAACACTCGTCGTCCGTCTCACGATTCACTTGAACAAAAACCAGTAGAAGAACAACAAGAAGAAGCTCCGTCTCTTATCGTCTATGGCGTCCTCAAACGAAACAACCCGCCAAAGGAGACTACCCATCTCTCACATCCTTCACTCCACCACCTCCAATCTCCTCTCCCTTTTCAACCCCAAAACGACGCCCTCCTCCTCCTCCTCCTCCTCCTCCTCCTCCTCATCCCCTTCTCGGCTTTGCTTCCCTCTCCTAATCCCCGACTCGCCCAAACCGCTCGCCTTCGAATCGTCCCAACCCGACTCGGTTTCGTCCAAATCGGCCGCCCGAGGAGTTTCGCCGGCGCCGGAATCCAGCTCGGCGTTCCCGTCGGCGGTCAGGATTGCGGGGCTCAACTCCAATCTTAAAGGCGGTGGGCCCGCTTTTGTGGGCCAGGTCTTCAGTATGTGTGACCTCTCCGGCACTGGTCTCATGGCCGTTTCCACTCACTTCGATATTCCTTTTATTTCCCAGAGGTTCATTCTTCTCTTCTTCTTCTTCTTATTTATTTATTTTCTTTTTGTACCTCCTTGTGATTTTGTATGCTTAAAGTCCAAAGATTTTCTAAGTTCACATGGGCAAAAATTTCACCTTTTTTTTTTTTGGCTTTTTGTTTCAATTGGATAAATTTATTTAGGATGCTGGTTTTTGGGTTGATGTGCAATTTATAGAAGTTGCGTGTTTCGAGCTTGTAAAACTGGAAAGTAATAACTGAAAACGAACTGAGGATGCTGATATTGTTTTAGCTGATTATGGGGTTTTTGACTGATTCTTCTTTTAATTCAACTTGTAGAACACCTGAGTGGCTCAAGAAGATGTTTGCAACAATTTCTAGGAGTGAGAGAAAGGGTCCTGTGTTCCGGTTTTTTCTGGATTTAGGTGATGCAGGTATGTCCGGTTCATTTTTTTTTTTTTTTTTGTAAAGATAATATAGGAAGTTTGGTTACAAATCCTAAAACTTATGCCTTTAATTATTACGTTTTTAAAGACAACACAGCTCTCTCTATTTTTATACGTAACTTAATTAAAAGAAAAGGGTGACTCAATTATTCTATGGAGGATAATTTCTGGGAAGGCTTCCCCTGCCGCTTAGCGATTGATTGATGGTCAGTCGATCACTCTTACGTTTTTTAAACACAACACAACTCTCTCTATTTTCATAGGTAATTTAATTTTTTTTTTTAAAAGAAAGTGACTCAGTTATTCTATGGTGATGAGAGTAGTGGCAAGTCTGTTCTTATATTTGTTTGAATTTTAAGTAACAAACTTAACTAGCTCCTATTTCTGTTCTGTTCTTTCTTCTCTTTTTCTTCCCCCTTTTTATACATTGCGTTAGTTGTAAATTGCAACTTGTGTTCTTAGTTTCATATGTCAAACGGCTGAATATTCCAAGTGGAGTGGTGGGTGCTTGTCGCCTTGATCTAGCGTATGAGCATTTCAAGGTACTGCTTTTATTGTTTCGTATGGACAATTCTGCATGTTTTGGATATGTACAATTTTTTGATTACTAATTTCAAATATGCTTTTATCCTTCTTTATTTTCTAACTTCATTTATGTGCTTTAATTCGTTCGACAATGCCGGTGTTGCGTATGGTATTGTAACATTTCTTATGAGAAACTGATCTTAAATCATATTAGTCTTTTACGTTTGGATGGCAACTTGTTAATAGGTAAAGACATGTTTGTGTAACTTTCCAAATTTCTAGAAATAATTTGTTGCTACTTCAGTGATAACATGTTTTTGGTATTTGGAAATATGATGCTATGTTATCCGGGATATTCTGTACTTTGGAGTTATGTATCATTCATATTGTGTTCTTTGTACCCGTGCTTTGTGTTTGCTCGTATGTTATTTTCTTTGCATTGTTTTTAAAACTTTTTTCCTGTTGTGTTATGCAGGAAAAACCTCACTTATTCCAGTTTGTTCCAAATGAGAAACAGGTAGGAAAAAGACTATATAGTGGTTTTTTTGATACCACACTTGTCCTGAAACTATGCTGCCCCTGCAGATCAAGGAAGCGAACAAGCTTCTTAAGACAATGCCTCAGAATTTTGGATGCAAAAGGGTTGAAGGGGTTCCAGTTTTTAGTGCTCAAAACTTGGATATTGCAATAGCAACTACAGATGGGATCAAATGGTGGGTTCTCGCTGCTGCTTTTGAGTTTGTGCATTAAATATGAATTCTAGAATTTCATTTTTGTTTCATTATTTGTCATCAAGGCCATTTATTATTATTTTTTTTTTAACATCTTGTGGAAATTTCTTTACTTGCTTGCTGAATAGGCTTAAAGTTCTCCACTTTGAATTTCTTCCCAATCATCAAAACCAAATAATTTGAACTTAGTTCAGAATATCTGATGCTTTATTGGTTGCTGTTTATTTCATCAGGTATACTCCCTACTTCTTTGATAAAGGCATGCTTGATAACATTCTTGAAGAATCTGTTGATCAGCATTTCCATGCTTTAATTCAAACTCGGCACATGCAGCGCCGTCGAGACGTGATTGATGATAACTTGGCAGCAGAAGTGATTGAAGAGATGGGAGATAACTTATGGGAGCCTCCAGAGGTAAGAAAATCAGTGGTCTATTGTTTGCCCTTGGAACCCATCAAAATTGTGGAAGCCAGCCAGTATTAGGCCAAGGCCCAAGGATTCGAAGATTTAGGTTTCTATACCTGGGAACTAACTTGAAAAAAGCAGCAGCAGTCAAGCTTTTCATTAAGATGTGTAAATTTCACAAGCGTGTAGCATGATGCTGGGTTATGTATATTCCATGATATGCTTCCAATAAGTGAAACTTATATTTTGTCCATTGTGGAAGTAAATGATCAAGCATATAATAGTTTTAAAAAAGATCTGGCGAAATCTTGTTGGAACACATTCTCTTTATATAATACATATATATATATATATATATATATTTTGGTAACCGCAACATAATATTTTGGACAGGTTCAAGAAGTGATGGATGAGATGGGGAATCCAGGAATACCCTTGAGTGTCATTTCTAAGGCTGCTGAAATGCAGCTCCTTTACACCGTTGATAGAGTACTCCTGGGCAATAGGTGGTTGCGGAAAGCAACAGGCATTCAACCAAAATTCCCTTATTTGGTTGACTCTTTTGAGAAAAGGTATACACTTCATAGTTCATCCCATACATTTATTTTCTCAATTTACTATGATGCATCTGCGTGACGTTTCCCTTTCCAGATATAAAGTTCACTTGTTTAAAACCGATTGAATAGCATGATAATAGTGTGTGGGATACACATAAAATGAGTCGCATTTTCTACTGCAGGAGTGCCGCTTCTTTTCTGAGAGCCACATCAATGGCGTGCTTAGCCAACTCTGAAATGGAACACAATTCCAAAGATTTTCCGGACCCTAGTAGCACTTCAAAGCTTGAATTTAAAGATGATACTCAAACCAACCGAAGAACCAGACCCGATTTGCGGCTTCCTTTCGGAGATTGGCTTAATCTTCAGGGATCAAAACAAAAGCACCGAAAAGAAGCCTCGTCTGAGGAATGCACAAAGCAAAACGTGCAGCCGAATCCGTTTCTTCCAAAAATCACAATGGTTGGTATTTCAACTGGTGAAACCGGGCAGATGAGCAAAGCTAGTTTGAAAAAGACGATGGAGGATCTAACAAAAGAACTGGAGCATATTGACCAGGAAAATGCCAATGGCTGTAACAGTAGTTGGAATAACGAGTTTGAAGCCGAAGATAGGGATCCGCTTTTTGTGGCAAATGTGGGCGATTACTATTCTGGTGTGGCAAAGTCGGGTTCAGCTCGATGGGTTCGTGGGGGAAACAACTAGAAGCCCAACCAACAGGGCGTATATTTTTTTTTTCTTGCTCGATTGTGAATATTCATTCATGAAAAAAGAAGGGAAAAAAAAAAAGAAAAAAAAAAGACAGAATGTCAGAATTCTTGATCTGCCCGCCTGATCTTTGTTGTAAAAATGACTGATAAATGAGAATAGACATAACTAGTAATTCGGAAAATTTTCGCCGTTGTAATTGAATGAGCATTTATGAATTTTGAAGCTTGCTTGCAAGTTTCTTTTTCTTTCTTTCTTTTTTTTTTTTTTTTTTTTTTTTTTTTTTTTTTTTTTTTTTTACTTTGCTTACTTGTTTGAAGCTTTTTTTTTAATTGTCTTTTTTCAGTTTTTTTTTTCATTTCCATTTTCTTTAATTGTAATTTAAATATTGTTATTTTTCTTCTTTTTTAAATCATGTATTTTTCATTGTTTCCCATTAAAATATTTTTTTTCCATTAATTTTCTCTTTAAACACCTTTTTTTTTTTTTTTTTTTTGCTTTTCTTGCTTTCTTTCAAGCATTTTTTTAAAATTGTCATTTTCTGCTTTTTTTTTCTTTTCATTTTCTTTAATTGTATTATAAATATTGTTCTTTTTTTTTTACTTGCATAAATATTGTCACCCATGAATATCTATACTCTTATTATGTATCTATACTTATAATACAGAAGATATATATATTTTTTCAACTTTTTTCTTTCAACCATCATTATGCATAACATAAAATTGTTGATTTTCATCGAATTATAATTTTATTTAGATTAAGGCCTCGTTCACTTCACCGATTTGAGTTTAGAATTTGAGTTTTGATACAGTAAAAAGTTCTCATAAATAATCACATCTAACTTTTTGCTGCAGTAAAAAGTTCTCACATAAAATCACATCTCAACTCGAATTAGCGAAGTGAACGGACCATAAAATTTAAAACTTTTTAATAATTTTACACCGTTATTGGAAAAAATTTTATGAATATTATTTTTTAGTTTGAAAAATAATTATCAATTGGCTATATTTATTTATTTTTATCATTGTTAAACCATTGTTGGCATTCTTTAAAGAACATCGTCGTTAACATGTCGTATTTTAATTTAACATAAAAAAAAATAAGTTAAATTGTTCGCATATTTATTAATTTCTTTTTTAAGAAACAATTAAAAAGCATATTTGTATTGAAATATTACTTATTTAATAATTTTAAATAATATGAACAAAATACAATTTGCAAAGTGAAAAAAAAAAAAAAATTCATAACGGGACGTGCCCTCAAGCTAGTTGCATAAGAAAGAAATGGTTGTGTATTGTACATGCATTGTCGTTTTTTTTTTCTTTGGTCATTTTTCCTTTCTTATCTTCTATCGTTTCTTTAACATGGGGATGGGTTTATTTGAATTGAAATAACTCAAGAAATAAACCGAGTGGTAGAAAGTCTAGAATCATGTGTCGTTGTGGTTTTCCATTAAGGACAACAGGAGTTGCAGGGGCAGTGATATCGATGGTGATGGCACAAAGATAGGCCAAAAATGTATCGCCCGAAATGAAAATAACGTTCACAACTACAAAATTTCTACAAACCAAAGCTACATTATAATCATGCATGGAAAGAAAACCCAAATGTACAATGAATATAACAAATCTTGTGATATTGGTGGAGATAGTTCACTTGGTGCTGTGAGTGCCATCTACTACTCTCCAAGTTTGTGGCATTTCCCATTCCCCCCACACCATAAAAGTAATGGTGGGTGTATTCTCTCTCTCTCTCTCTCTCTCTCTCTCTTCCTCCTTCTCCCTCCCCTCTCCCC